TTGAGAACACAGACTCCATGGCTGCAAGCATTCTGCCAGGCTACATGGTAACATCAAAGCAGGAGGGAGTCTCCTGCCCTTAGCGCTCAAATGTCAGGAGGAATCTGATTGGGTCAGCTTGCATCATGTTGACACCCTCGAGCCAATCGCTATGGCCCAGGGAGTGGGCTCATCTGATTGGCCAGACCTGGGTCATGTGCCCATCATTTTGCCTTGTGTTTTTTTTTGCGGGGGGAGGAGCAATATTTAGTTTATTTTTAGGGGATGTACTGGGGATTGAACCCTTCAACCGAGGGCATCCTGCATGCTAAGCATGCGCTCTACCACTTGAGCTATGCCCTCCCCCCATACTTTTGCCTTGGCAGGAGTTAGTATACCATACAGGGGCCTGACATCCCCTCCTAAACCTCTCAGAATGGGCAGGGGAGTTCCCTCAAAGGAAAGAGGGTGGGAAAAACAGAAGATGGAGGTTACCAGCAACCGCAGCATATCTATGTCAATGTGGGTAACACCCTGGAGGGCAGAATCAGCAATGTTTCTGGGAGTTTGAAGGAAGAGCACTATTCCCATTACCTATTGCCTCAGAGCAAACCATTCCAAAACTTAATGGCTTAAAATAACAACTATTTTATTGTCACTTATTGTTTGGTGTTATCCGTTCACCCATTGATGGAAATTTGGGTTGCATCCATCTTTAACTATTGTGAATAACGTCTTGATAAACGTCTTTATATACAGGTTTCTGTTTCGACATATGTTTTCCTTTCTCTTGGGTATGTAACAAGGAGTGGAATTGCTGAGCCATATAGTAATTCTATACTTAACTTCTTGAGGAACGTGTGTGTGTGTGTGTGTGTGTGTGTGTGTGTGTGTGTCTATGTGTGTATGTTTGTGTTTGTGTGTGGTTTTACTTAAATCATTCTGAAATAATTACAGACTCAGAGGAAGTTGCCAGCATGGTACAGAGAGGTCCTTTATACCCTTCATTCAGTTTCCCCCAGTGGTAACATCTTGTATAAGTATAGTGCAATACCAAAACTTGGAAATTGACACTGGTGAATCTACAGACCTTATTCAGATTTCACCAGTTTTATATGCCCTCGTGTGTGTGTGTACGCAGTTTTATCACGTGTGCATTTTTTATGGGGATTCCAGCAAAGGTGAGAAACTCCCCTTTATTTCCAAAGTATTCCCAAAGTTTATATGTGTATGTTTTCTCTCTAGTCTTCAACTGCCTAAGCTATAACTCCCTAAATGTCAATACCCTTCAGAAATGACAGCCCTCAGAGACAAACATGAAATTCTAGGAAGGAGAGGGTGTTCAATCTTGTCAAAGGGTTCAATCACTCCACCTTTCTGGCCAAAGATCTCAATTAATATGACCAGAAGTCAATTATTCACTAATCAATTGTCCATGAGGATGAAGATTTTGGTTTTTTAAGACTGTATCCCCAGGGCCTTGGTCAGGTCCTGGCATGCAGTAAATGCTCAACAAATATGTATATTGATTAATCAATGAATGAATTCATTCTATATATATGTAAGAAACACTTTACTCTAGGCCAGGGCCTGAACTGGGCAGTACTGGGCAGAGTGGTGACTGAGACAGCCCCGGCCCTGCCCTCAAGGGTCTCAGTCCAGTATAGTGAGGTAGACCCATTCTCAGACAATGATGAGTCAAAGGAAAAGTAATGGGGCATCAGGGAGGGCTTGATGGAGGGGACAACAGACCTGACTACTGAAGGATGAGTTAGGAATGAACCACATTAAGTGAAAGGAGTGTTCCAAGTGGAAGTTTTGACAATTTACTCTCCCTCCTTGCTCTTATTCCCCAACAAACTGTGACAACCCCCCACTGGGCTTCAGCAGCCCCCTGGGCCCCTGTCTCAGCCTTGACCACTCTGAGATGTCACTGTCAGGGACAGACCTGTCTCCCCCTTCACTGGCTGCCAGCCCTAGGAGGGACGGGCCAGCGCTGTTGTGGTTACCACTGTGTCCTGAACACTGCCTAGCACTGAACCAGGAACACAAGCAAGGGCTCAGAAAGTGTTTGATGAATGAATATGAGAGTAGAGTGCATGTATGTGTGTGAAATAGTTGAAAGTGTGTTATATGAACAAGATCAAAGTTCAAACTCCTCAAACCCAACTTCCTATCCCAGGAAGTGGCATAAGAGCAGTTAAAACACTGGAGCCCTACTATTTGGACTCTGGCATTTCTTCTCCCTGTGACTCAGTGTCCTTATCTGTAAAATGGGACCTCCACATATGGTTATTTTGAGGATTAAATGAGTTATTCACAAAAAGTGCTTAGAACAGTACTTGGAATATGGTAAGTGGTCATTAAATGTTAGCCATCCTTATTTTTTAAAATCATTTTTGACCCTTAGCTTTTTAAGCCAACATCCTCTCCTATTTCCATCTCTTATCCGCAGTCATTTGAATCACTAGTACTTGCCCTTCCTTGTGACAGTTCATGTCTCTGAGCCTCTGCACATGCTGTTCCCTCCCCACTAGTACACCCTTTTTGAACTTGTCCTCCTGGGGAACTCCTATTCAGCTGGCACAATACAGCAATCACATCATCCCTCCAGACTCCCCAGGTTTCACAGACCAGCTTGTTGCCTCTCTGGGATCACAGTCTCCTTTCCTGTCCTCCAGCTTTTGACACTTCCCGACTGTCCAAGGTGTGGGGAAGGAAATGGTCCAGCTCTGTAGAAGCATCCTTTTCACTGGGTCTCTTGGTGCTCTGTCGCCCCCATGTGCCCAGCCTCAGACCTGCATGGAAAAATTTGCCTAGAAAACTCTGGGAGAATAGAGCTGGTAATGCTCCCCCTGCACCCCAAAGTCACCCTCAGCCTTTCTCCTCCTGCTCTGGGTCCTGGGAGAGTGCCCTTTGTGGGCTCCATCCACAGGAGTCCCTTGCCCTCTGCCTTCTGGTTGGATCATGCCCATTACAGGCACTGACCCGAAATCTGAGGATAGCAAGGGGAGAGAGGTTGGAGTATTTATTCTCTGGGCCCCTCCCTGGATCCCTGCAGTTCTGGCAATGGCTTTGTTCCTCTGTCTAGAGCTCTTATGGGCTCCTCTCCAGACTTAAGCTTTCTGCCTGAAGGGCTGTGATGGCTTGGCTCTGTCTGCTGCTGGTCCCATGTTATTGCCCCATATTTTGTGGATTTTTTCACCTTGCCCATTCCTCTAGACTGTCCCTTCATAAATACTCCCATTTCAACTCTTTGAATGGCTAGGTGTTTCCTGCCAGGACCCTAAATGAATCACAGTATAAACTTAGGGGGAGCCCAGGAGGGAAGGGGATCCTCATTCACCAGTGAGCCTGGGAATTTCTCTGTAGGAGGAGCTTGGGATAGTCATGGGGCTGACAGGAGGGTTGTCTTGAAGCTGATAAGATGTATATGGGGTTATTTGTAGGGAGGGGCTAAAGCCTTCATGACACTTCCATCAGAGTGTCCCTGTCTGTCCGCTTGAGGGAGGGTGGAAGGAAAAAGCTTTCATTCTTGTGTGCAGTGCAGGTCACTTGGGCCCTTGATTAACTCTCTCACTTTCAATTTCCCTCAAAAGCCCTGAGAAGAAGAGGGTAATATGGTTCAGAGAGGTGAAGTCACTTGTCCAAGGCCACACAGCAAACGATTATAATAGCTACTTTAAACAAAACAAAATAGAAGTGTTTCACCTCATTTCTATGGAGTTCTAGAACAGGCAATGCTAATTTGAAGGAAAAAAAAAGTACACAGTTGCCTCTGAGAGTGATAAAGAGTGTGAGTATTGCCTGGAACAGGCAAAAAAACAGTGTTCTTAGGTGATGGAAATGTTTATGTCAATTTGGGTGCTTAGTCACATGGGTGTATCTGTTTGTCACAACTCTTTGGACTGTTCCCTTAAGATCCAGATATTTTTATTTTTTATTTAAAAAATAAAAAAAAAGAATTTGCAAACCTAACAGCTGTCATTTTTCGAGGACTACATCCCAAATCTGTCCAAAGTGCTTTGCCCAAGAATGAATTCTCCTGACCAATTTATGAAGGATCTGATGGTAATAATAAAAACCAGCGAGTATTTTTGGACCACTTACCATTTGTGTATTCACTCCCTGAAAACAATGTGTGTTGCACACTTATTACATGTCCAGTGGTTTTGTAGACAACAGACACACAACAGTAAACTAATCAAACACAAAAATGACACTCCTCCTACCTGGGAGGCAGGGAGGAAGGGGAGCATGGGGGGGGGGTGTCATGTTTTACAGACTTGATAGTCTGACATCCTCATGACAAAGGGAATATGAGGGACCACATTATTAGAAGAGAAAACTGAGGCACAGAGAGGTCACCAGCCTAAGTCTAGCCAAGAGGCAGGGCTGGAGCTGCAAACCCCAGGACTCCTTCCAGAGGTGGCTATGACCGTGGCCGTGGGCTTGGGGACCTAGCAGACTGCTTATTATCTCCCTTGGGAAGGGGGTCCTGCGATAACCAGAGAGTTAATGATTTGGGCCTGGGGGCTCCGAAGGGAGGAAATGGTTTAGCTCCAGGAGACTTAGTGAGGGACCTCACTTTCCCGTACAGCTTAGGGCTTGATCGAATTAGAGTGCGGGGTGGGCAGGAGGGTAAGCAGAGGGGTTTAATGAGGTGGAGGCCTCCAGCCTGGGGACTTTGAAGGACTGGGAGGTGTTCCAGCAGCAAGTGAGCTTTCCCCAGGGCTGGAAGCCTTTGGTGGGGTAAAGGCTTAAAGGAGTTAAGGGGGAGCGACAAAGGAAGGGTTAATGGGGGCGGGGCGGGGCGGGGCCTCAGCTGGCCACGCCGGCCCCGGGACCGGGAGGAGTCGCCGCCG